CTTGAATATCCAGATACTCATCCAGGCTCAGGATTCTTTTGTCACTGTTTGTATGTGATAAGCTCTCTTCACTTTGGGGCTGTTGGAGAATGTGCTCCTGGAGGCTGTGATGCATCCTCACATGGCTGCGATACATCCCCTCACACTGTCCAAAGCACCGACTGCTGTTTTAGACATGGTCTTTCTTGTCAGCACTTGTCAGTAGATTCTGTCACATTTTTTATGTAAAATCACAGGTCTAACTTACATGTGGAATCTGAGAACTATCCAAACTCGTAGAAATGAAGGACAATGTCACCTGCTACAGGGTCCAGGAGTAGGGTAAATGGGGAGATTGGTCAGAGGATCCAAAGTTTGGGTTGTGCAGGATGCATTCATCCTAGGGAGCTGATTGCTGCATGGTGACTGCAGTTACCAATGCTGCATCACATGCTTGGACTGCTAAGAGAGATGCTAAATGCTGATGACGCGCGCGCGTGCGCGCGCGCACGCACGCGCACACTCACACACACACACAGGCACACAGTTGTAACTGTTAAGAGATAGAAATGTTGATTTGGAAGGTTAGCACACACACCTCTACTCAATACTCAGTAGACTGAGGCAGGAGGGTCATGAAATCACTGACCAGCCTGAGCTATATATAGCAAGGCCCTGTAAAAAAGGAAAAGGAGAAAAATAAAGAAACACCAGCTGGGCTGATTGCTGTGATACTTCACAGTGTATTACATATCAGCACATCATGGTGAACCCTTCTCGTATAGAATTCTTTGTCAGCCGTACATCAGTAAAGCTAGAAAAACAAATGGAATGACTCAACTTACAGCCAGAATTCATTTCACTTTTTCCCTTTCCAATCTGGATGCCTTTTATTTTAACCTATCCACACAGGTTTTGTTTTTTTTTTTAAATAGCATTTGTTTGCCTGAAATAACGCCTCCTCTCATCTTTGTAGACTCTTTTTGGGGAAGCATGATGTGGATGTCATGGGGAGGCATCGCCAAGTCCTTCCTCCAGAATAGCTCTGACTGAGTCGCCGTCTCACAAGGCAGGATCAGATAGCATGTGCAAATCGAAAAACATGAGACTGAAAGTCAGAAGTTACAGAAATAGAATTAATGAGTGCCTCTAGGTTCTCTTTCCTCCTCAGCTAAAGCCAACGGAACCACTTAGAGAAAAAAAACGGTATGGGATGAATCACTATCTGTGTTAAAATTATAGGGTGTGCACAATAAAATGATTCAGGGTAGTGGTAACGAAGAGAAATGCAACCTTGTAATTAAGAAGGTGGTAGAGGAGTTTCTTTCAAATGACTTTGGGCCACTTACTGAGTAGGACGGCGGGCCTCCGTGTGTCACACGCTCCCATCTAGAGGCGGGGCATGAACCGCACAACCATGCCTGACGCGCAGAGGCACATTTAGCTTTGAGGCCCGTGGTGCTGTGTCTTTTACTTTGACGCCTTGGTCTGTTTTCTATGTTTTGCATCGGCTCCCCTGAGTGTCTATTGATAGATATCAAGGGCATAGGGCCAAGCTTCATGCCAAGTAACAGAATGAGCCACAGGCATTTGTCTCCCGGGACTGCTACAAAAATTGCCACAAACTTGATTTAAAGCAGCAAAAATTTGTTCTCTCACAGTTGACTTTTGAAGTCATGGTGCATGAAATTAAGTTGTTGACAGGGCCGCGCTCCCTCCAAGGGCTCTAGAGGAGCATCCTTCCCTGCCTCCTCAGTGTCTGGCGCTAGAGATGCTCCTTGGCCCGTGGGTGCATAGCTCCCATCCCTGTCCTGTCTCTATGTGTCCTTCCCCTGTTTCCCTAAATGTCTTCACCTACTTGGTCTTATGAGGTCTCAGAGCCCAGCTAGTAATCCAGGATAACAATGTATCAGGAGCCTCCATTCTAACTGCCAAGACCACGCCCATCCTCAGCTAGCTCCAGCACCTGGGTCATGCCATCCTATTTTCAGGTTTTTCCAGACAGGGTTTCTCTGTGTAGCCCTGGCTATCCCGGATCTCACTCTGTAGATCAGGCTGGCCTCGAACTCACAGAGATCCGCCTTGGTTCTGCCTCCCGAGTGCTGGGATTAAAGGTGTGCGCCACTGCCGCCCAGCTGACTCCTTCTGTTTTTAAAGTAAGGATAAAGATACCTTTATCACAGGGTGTCATCAGGATGAATCCACACAGAACACCATCACCTTGTGTGTGCATTCACTAAAGGGCCTCTCCCGAAGTTGATAACATGAACACAGTGTGATGCTGCTCATGTGTTTATTCAGCCAGCAGCTCAGGTACCGTGCTAGGCATGGGTTCTGCCCTCAAGCAGCTCACAGGAGTCGGGGCAAGGTGAGTGTACAGGAGTTCTAGTTAGCGTGGCAAGTGCTGGTGAGACTGGAGAGTGGGAACCCCAACGCGTGCTGTGGGCGTGGAAGGAGCAGAGCAGGGCCAAAGCAGGCCGGCTCCCTGGCCAGCCTCCTCTCTTTCAGTTGCTCCCAGGCTCAGCTGTCTTCGTCTTTTCTAGAAAGGTTAAGACCTTCAGAAGCTGGCCTCGTTCCAAGGCCCTGGCACCGTTTCTTCCTCGGCTGCTTTAGAGCTCACAAACGAACCCTGAAGCAGAACTGAGCAGTCTCCCCAAGCAGCGTTATGATCGATATGGTAATGGGTCCTCCCTAGGTTTGCGGAGAAAAGTGCTCCATAGTCTAAATAAGTTTGGAAAATGCCAGCGTGGCACAGAATTTCTCCCCCAAAGCACTGTTCCTGCTGGCTTTTAATATGCTAATATCCGTTACTGATCCCCAAAGGAGGGATGCAGTTGCCAGACTTGACCGCTCCAGAATCCCTTTAGTACCTTAGAGAGTAGTGCTCCTCTCAACAGTTCAAGAGGTCCAGACAGGCAGCAAGTACAGACAGGGATGCACCATCAGAGAACATGGCCCGGGCATAATATTGGAAGTTTCCTTGGTGGGTTGTTTGTTTGTTTGTTTGTTTGTTTGTTTGTTTGTTTGGGCCATGTGGTTAACAACTCAGATAAGAATGAAGTATCTATCCCTGCTGAGTTCTGACCACCTGAAGACATGGTCTCCAGGAAAGACTCTAGGTCATCTCTTGTTTAGCATTAAGTACGGCCAGCTCTGTTGCCCATTCATACACATAAAACCAAATGCACTGCCTCTGACTGGCCGTCTGAATTATGTAAGTAATCTGCTGAGGAAGGTAGTGGGAAATTGAACACATCCCCTTCCCCAGTGCCTTCCTGTGATGAAATAGTTCAATTCGAGCAGGAGCTCAAGAATGAGCTATGGCCTCTAAATCTCAAAGCTTGTCTGTTTCTGCCAGGAGAGTCGAAGATCTAGGTACAGGGGCCCTGGCAGAAGGCACCTCAGGATATTAGATTTGGTAATTGCGTGGGTCCGGTGCGTCCCTCATGGACTGTGAACTGTAATGTGTGAGAATAATCACAAATAATGTCTGCTGCCTTTATTACTCCGACTCTAGCGCAGAGCTACTTGGATTGAAGGTTCTCATTTAAAACAGTTGTCCTTCATTTTTTTTCAGCTTTCTGTTTTGGGACAGGGTCTCACTGCATAGCCCTGGCTGGCCTAGAACTCAGTGCAGACCAGGTTGGCCTGGAACTCTCAGAGCTCCATCTGCCTCTGCCTCTGCCTCCCAAGTGCTGGGATTGGAGGTATATGTCCCTACCGCCCCAACCAAGCTTTTCTCCATCACTCTGTAGGACAAGAGAATAAATATTAAGCCTGAGGCATAACTCGGGCCCGATGCTCTTGGCAGCCCCAAGGTGACCTTTGAAGTACCGTTCTCATCACCAAATGAGTCCAGTTTCTTTTGCCTCTGAAGTGACTTGGATCACAAGGATAGGCTCTAAGAACCCTGTGGCTTCAGATTCTCCGACTCTAATATTTAGAGTCAAGGCCTCAGTCTTTGGACGTTTAGACCCCTCCTGACTTGTTGGGGGTCAGAGATCACTGGCGGAGTAAACAGTTTCTAGCTCACAACCAGCCCTCACATTCCGAACAGACACATTGGACAGACAGACACGCCGGTGCCGCTCCTGACGACTAAGCATGCAGTCCTGTCACCCTTCTATGGCCTCTGACGCTGCTGCCCATCGGGAACTCCAAGAGCAGCCGCCATCTCATAGCTTC